ATACGCACACATACACACACACACACACACACAAAACCTGACCATAGCCCTTTTTTTTTCCCTCAGGTGAAATCCACCCATACCATTTGGAAAATTAGTATTACTGTCACCTGGTAACATGTTCAAGGCACAGATGGACAAATAGGGTTACCTGCCCCAGTGGTGGACACCAGTTTGGGCTTGCTGCGAGCACCGTCCCCTTTGGTGGTGTAGGCTGTGACGGTGAGGGAGTAAGAAGTTTCAGGTTGTAGCCCAGAAATGATCATGTCCTGAAATGACACAATAGAATGACACCAAATCAAAACACACACGACAGATGCCCGGGGAGAAAATTGAAGCATCATCTTCTTTCTGCACATGCTTGAATATTCCCTGCAGCCATGCCAAGCCCTGGAAGTTTCATGCCTGCGGCTCATGCTATTGATGCTCTGTTTTCATGCTGACACTGAAGCGAGATCTGCAGCCATCCTAAGATGTAGTTCTATAGGGTAGTAGTTAAAACTATAAAACCTGGAGCCAGACCTCCTAAATTCTTGAATTTAAACCTGTATCTCCTTATTTATTAGCTTGGTGATACAAAGCAAGTAAGGTAACCCCTCTGTACCTCAGTTTCCCTATTAAAGTTAGAATAATAGGGGAATCAAATGGGTTATATCAGGCAAACGCAAAGAACTATGCCTGGCCCACAGTGGCAATCATGAACTAGCTATTTTATGCCAGCAGCTCTCCATTCGTAGCTACTATAACCTGGTCCATGCACTGGTGATAAGCTGATGCCAGTACAATGTTTAATCACCCATGTTAGTATTTTGCAATGACTTATCTGTTGGACCTCGATATCCTGACAGCCAGAGAAGTTTCTGGGGTTCAAGTGACATATTACTTGCATAGACTATGAACTAAAATCATCATATACTAAGAATTTTCTGGTAATTTTAGAGCAGGCCATAAAAACAAAGAGCAAGACTTGTTCCAAACAAATCATGAATGTATGTTCAATTAATCCTACTTAGAAAATGTTAAATACTACAAACTATTTATCAAAACAGTTTTATCTTAATAAGGGCCCCAAACTGTGATATTTACAAGACTAGATGGTCTTCCAAATTGGAGATGATTCTTTAGATGGAATGCTGGCTATTGATTTGTTCTGGTAGTTTCTTTAGAAGCTACACACACACATACACACATACAAATATACACACAGAGCAAAAAAAAAGCCTTTCAGATTCTTGGCACAGCTATGTTTGGCACAATATGTCAAACCAAATGAGGATAAATTTAAGAAGATACACAATGCCATTGTCTTCCATATCTGAAGACAATGCAAGTGAAAGTTCAGTGAATGGACTGGATTGTGGGGAGGGAAGCTAGATTTTCCTGTGCAAGGCTGTAACAGGCACCACAGAGCACAATTGTTGAATCTGATCTCAAATAGGTTGTTAAAAAAAGCTTTTAACAAAGTGCTTCTTTTCAAAAGAGTAAGAATTTCCACACCAGTGGAAAATTTCAGTGGAAAAATCATGAGCTTCAGATACCATCCTGAAGAGCCACTGAAAATATTATTCTAACACATGGATGGATTAAATCTGGGAGAGAGATTTTATTTTCATGATCTTGGAATGGTTTCACTAATATTATAGAGGATATAAAAACCAGGCAAAGCACCCAAGAATGGCATTTTAAATTATGGTGGACACACTGGTAATTCCAAAATTCATGAGGGCTAAATATGAAGAGCTCCCTTCCATGTCAAAGGATTGCTGCAGAAAGCAGGCAAAGATGTGAGAAAAAGAAGCAAGGTTTGCTTCTATCACCAAGCTGTGTGGTAAGAAATTTATATGCTCTGAGCCTTGTATAAATATGTCACTTACGAAACTGAGGTTAACCACACATATCCTTCCTCTCACAGAGTACTGAAATCTGACATTGGTTGAGCCCGGTTGGTGGTACAATCTCAGCTGGACACGCCTCTATCTGCCTGTGTCACACTCTCTTTTGGATAACATTTTCTTTTTCTAAGCTGCTGGCATACTTCCTTGGTGGTTTCTCCACCACCCCGCGGGGAAGGGTGGCTAACAGCCGGGCCACAGATGCTCCTCTTTGTCTGGCAACCCATCTCCACTCTACTCCTTGCCCTTGTGTGTTCAAGGTTGGTGTTCCCAATGTTCTGTCACAGTCACTGGGCTGCTGCGTGTCTCTCTAGTCCTAAAAATTACTGCATTCATCTCCAAACCTTCAAAGATTTTTTTTCTGCCTAGATTCAAAATTCACCTCTAGTCTTAACTGCCCACCAGGGCTCCACTGGCATATATATATTGTAAATTTTTGCTAGACATTTTCCCTTGACTGTCAAGTGTTACCTCAAGTTCTGGGAAGGCCATTAGGGGAAGCAGACTCCCCTCCTTACTTCCTTATTTTAATGAAGGGTAAGCATCTTCAAAACTTACAAAGGATCTTTGATCTCCTTTTCTTCCTCAAATTAAGTAACCAGTCCATAAATTGTATCAATTCTTCCTTTGGAATACTGTTCATAACTGTCCCTCTTTCATTTCTACTGCCTCCAGGTTGTTGAATTTATATCACTTCATGACTAACTTAGTAAAAGAGTTCTTTTTGTTTCTCTGTTTATTATCTTTCTCTATATATACTAAATTATTGATTTTTAGGCTGCAAGTAATGACCCATTTAGTAGGCCATGAAGTAAACTGACTTGGTCAAAACCAGAACTAAAAAAAATCCAGAATATACTTAAATGCAAAACATTAAACTTTAGATATATATAAAGGTAAGGTATTATTTTGCAAAACCCTTATTTTAAACATATGAATGCACTGGTCATCACATCTAATGCATTTCTTACTATGGGTCATGGCCAAAGAAATTTATAAAACACCGCCATACTGTCCATTCCATGAGAACTGACCCTCATCCATCATATTTGCCAAGTTTCCCAACAACAGCGCTGTGCTTGGGCAAAAAAAAATTTACTAAATGAAAGAATTCCTCCTACCAGACTCTATCTTATTTCTCCTTTTCATGATTTTCTCTCTCTTCAGTAGTGAAGAGTTAAAGACCAGCTCTTTAGCTTGACTCTTCAGGTTTTCTCAGTGATATACTAAAAATTCTCTCTTAGCCATAGTTGGCACTAATTTATTAACTTAAACTCTTCATCTCTGTCAAATTGGCAAGCTCACTTGTCACCTGACAATGTCTCTCTCCTGACTGCCTCAATGAATACTTTTCATGTGCTCACCTTCAAAACATCAGTTCCCATCTCCAACCCCCCAATACACACATACACACACTGTCATCTCTTCATTTCTTATTTGTCCTTTAAGCTCCCAAATAAGTTTCAGGACCTCTTCTACCATCCTGGTCTACATTCTCTGAACTCATGGCTTTACTGACATTATCACTCATTCACCAATTAATTAGACATTGCTTGAGACCATCACTTTTGTTACATTTTATGGAACTTTCTGAACTTCCTAGACACCCACCAGATGTCCTTAGAAGGCAGGTGTCACATCTGGGTCCTCCATAGTAAATAACATGATTCACTAATTCAAATATTTTTAAAAAATTCTTCCCTCCGTGAGATACTTTCTGCATTTTAGTGTGACTTATTCAATTTCACTCCAATCTCTATGGGTACAAAAGAGAATCACCATTTCCAGGTAGAGCTAATTAGTGCCAGATCCATGTCATGTTAACCACTGAAAATGTAACCCTGGGCTGGGATTTATGAGCAGCCTGTATGCCTGTATCAGACTTGACATCTCTAGTCAGCAATACCTCCACTCAAAGCATGCCTCCTCTAACAGCATCACAAGGCAGAATTAGTAGCAGCCACCAAAACCACATGAGCTCATGGTACTTTTTATGTGATCAGTAGCATCATGCCAACTTCACAAGACAGAAACCAAAATAAAAGGTATGCCACATATTGAAGATGATTAAAACAAGAATTTGTTAATTCATGCATCCAAGCAAACTGTGATGACATAACACAAAGAAATGAAAGAGGGGTATCAGAAAAACAAGCATTTACAATCTGTTGTGACAAAGCAGTCCAAAATTACTCACATGTTCAGTAGTATCATCAAATTCCCACTGATTTGAGATTAAGAAGGTTGGGAAAAGGAGAAACAAAATTTAAAAAAAAAAATGAAGAAAAATGTGTAGCCTTATAAAGACAACATTGCCCTCCTTAGATTAAAAGAGATAAAGAAAAAATAAGCAATTGAATCAGCATGTACAATAAAATTCCAAAGAGTGTAAGTGTGTTAAGCTGCCATCCTCACTCATAATTGAGATCAGAAGTAAATATCCTCTATATTGTTATTACTAAAACCAGTTAACATATATTTTTTGAATGTATGGCTTATTCGAATGAATCAAGAAGGCATAGTACAAAGCTAATGGTTGTAATCATACACTACTCTCTGACATCTACTTTGACTTTTTCCTTAGGTCACACCATTAATTCAGGTCACTAATTAGAGTAACATCTTTCATTAGAGAAATTGGGATCTTATAGCCTAGTCAAGTACTGCAAAATTTAATGATTTGTGAATAGTCACAGACAATATATATATATATATATATATAATATATATATATATTATATATATATATAAAAGAAACACAAGGAAAGTCAGCAAATTAATGAAGAAAAGCCAAAGTAAAAGAGGACAAAAAAGATCGTGTTGACACTGAATTTTGTATCATATAACTCCATTAACTACCATATTTCACAATGAAAGAGGTGACAGGTCTACAGGTCTACAGTGGAACATCACTACGAACCAAAGAAGGAGATCAAAGCATGATGTTCACATTATTTTCTTTTTCATAATTGTAGAATTACAAAGTAAAATGTAGGAATAAATGGCTTTATTAATTTTATACTGTGAGAACTTTCCATTTTAGAGGAAGGACAAACTAAATATTTAAGAAGAGCAAGTCAATGAGTCAATGTCCCCTTTTCCCAAGTCTAAAGGACATTATGCATCCCCAACTAAATTTACAGAAGTGGCCTTCAAAACAAAGCCATGCTATATTTGGAGAAGATAAGTTAGCTACTAATCCAGATCCCTTTAATTAAAATGTGAAAAACTGAAGCAAAACTAAGCACTTTTGTGAACTGATTATGTTAAGATATTAGGGTAAATACTTCCCTTACTGCCACAGGGATATTTATTGCTCTCTTATTTTCACAGAGACAAGAAAGCAAAATTTGGCAACCTGACATAGCAGTTCTCAGTTTCATTCATAATCTTCCTCACTCTTACACACAGGAAGTTGAAATAAATTTCTAATTGTCACAAACCCAATTCTTTTCTGTGCTCAATCACCAATTTGCTAGATAAGCAAAGTACTCCCTTATTCATAATGTCTCATCATTATTGAGATATTACCAACTCAGGTAAGTTACCCATGGGTTACATATAATCCCCAGCATGATGGTTATTAATTAGTACCTTCCTCTCTCTTTCAGGAAAATATGTAGAATACAGGTGAATTTCTTATGGTACTATTTCTGAATCATTTCTAATTGATAAAAAAAATTAATGCTCTATTTTCAAAAACTGATCACAAAACCAAGTGATTTTGGTTGTCACCAAGGATCAGCAGAATTTCTCAGGCACTCTTCACACTTTTCTTAACTTGGATCAACACAGAGGACCCCATTTATTCTTTGGGAGACTCTAATTTTTATTGTCATTATCTTCATTTTCTGGCAAAGAAAACAATGACTTCCAAATACATGATTTGATAAAGAAGTACTAAATAAAATGCTGCCTGGACATCTTCCCTAAATAAGAATGCTTATTCTTCATCAGAAGTCATACATTTAGAAGTAGATCAATCTTTTTCCATATAGTTTTAGCACAGCAGAAAGTAGATCCTCAAACTGTTGCCTAGAATTCTTCTCATTGAGTTGATTAAAATCAACTTTTCTGAAGTCAGAAAGGCAGAGCTGTGCATCTGTGTTTTAAGAAAACAGTTACATATTTTTAGGCTTGAGTGTCATTTCATCACAATTTACTTTCTCACTTGATGTTGAGTCAGAGAAGGTAAATAAATAAGCATCATGTGCTTTAAAAACTAGATCTGTGTACAGGGTTTTCATATGTCAAAAATTTTAACTATGGCCCATTTCAGGGTACACCAAAAGAGATGGTCTATATGAAGACACACGTATGCAATTTCAGAGGCTTACCTGTGCATCAGCCAGCATGACATCCTTCAGCATGGGCTGGCCCTTGGGCTCACCATTTTCCATCCTCACATAATGCACCTGGTATCCTCTTATCTGGCCATGCTGTTTATTGGGCACAGGGGAGCGCCATGAGACTTTAACAGATGTTGAGTTGACAGCCTCTACCTCGACTTTGCGAGGAGGACCACTAGGAACTGGAACAACATCATTGGATAAAAGAAAATTATAGGCACTTGTACCACCCAGTCAGAGCATTTTCTTTACTTAGGTTTGTTTTTTCTTTTAAAAATGGGCAAACCCACTATGTTTCCTTTGCGGAATACAAACATTTTCAACCAATGAAAATGCTCAAACCAATCTGCTCTACCTTTTAAGAAAAGATCAAAAAACATGACCGATGCAAAAAAGAAAAGTGGAAGAAAAAAAGAGTACCAGAGAAATAGAAAAACATGTAAAAAAATGTACAAAAGCCAAGGAAGATGCTTTGAGACTCAAAGCATTAAAGCACAAAGAGGTATAGCATTGAAATAATAACAAAAACTGGTTGTTGATTGTTGTGTGTTTTTTTTTTTGAGGTTTCTTTTTTAGCAGAATAAAAAGACTCTTGATTATATGGATTTTCTTCTTTTTTTTCTCATATCAAAGGTATTCCATACAACAGATGCCAAAAATTGAATGTCGAGCATCAGTGTCTCTGAAACATGCAAGAACAAAAAAGGCAACAAGAAGGTAAGAAGGCAGTTTTGAAAAGTGAACTTCAAAATGTGAAAGAAGTGGCTACAAAAAGGCAAGAAAAACTCAGAAGATAGAAGTACACAGAAGGGCCTGGATTGCAAGGTCACAGGAGCAAAAGCTGTTCTTTTAAAGGGAAGCAAAGTACTGTGTTGAGATTGAAAAAAAAAAAAATTGCCCAGGCTGTAGCAAAGGTAGGTCTTTGGCAAAAATTATCGAAGTTATAGCGATGCTGGGTAAAAAAAGATGAGCAGAGAAAAATCATTACTGTGAGCCTATCAAAAGACAGCAGACCCAGATAGTGTCAGAAGGGTGCAAACTGACGTAGCACAGGTAACGTACCATCTTCATCGGTTCGAATCAACACGGACAAGCTCTCGGGGCCGGGGCCGACATCTGTGTGGGCGGTCACAGTGATCCGGTACTCAGTCCATTTTTCCAGCTGTTCCAAAAGGTATTTGGTAGTGTCCGAAGGAATCCCCAAAATCTCGTGAGGTTTGTCATCTTCTCCATCCACGGTGGTGTACTTGATGGAATATTCAGTAAGAATGCCATTCTGTTTGTCCACCGGTGGAGGTTGCCAACTTACCAAAATACTAGAGGAACTTGGGCTGGTGCAACTAATGTCTTGAGGAGGAGCTGACGGCTCTTATTTTGGTAGTGAGTTAAAGGAGGGTTTGAGTGAAAGGACAGGCATGGTTGGGGGGAAAAAATGATAAAACAAAAGAAAAGGCAAAAATAAATAAAACGAACAATAAGGGCAACAAAGTGAAAATAAGGCTTTGAAACATAAAATAAATTTTTAAGGATAAAGTTATGTACCTTGGCTTAGTAATATGAATGAACCAAAAAATGAATAATGATCAAAAATAATTGTTAAATAATGGGTGGGGGGAATATGTGAAAATGAAACCTTGAGATAATAGAGCCTCAAATAAAATTACCTACCTGCAATTTAATTCTTCTTCTAAACCAATCCCTCAGTATTCCCCAGCCCTACAATAGACTATCCAACTTCAAAAAAGCTGCAAACATTGCAAGATTTAGTACGAGAGTCTGACGATGCTTCACAGATGCCATTTCAAGATTTCACTTCTACATTCTAGAATGAGAGTGATTCATATACAGTACTCATTTTTTAAAGGGTTCTTAACCGTGAAAAGTTGCAATAACTGTTAGATGCCCTTCCAACAATTCTAATTTTAAAAAAAAGGTGGTAGTGGGGGTGGGGAATAAAAGCCCAGACATTAAAGGGTTTCCTCTGACATCTGAAAAACTGAATCTGCCTGACCAGTATTCATGAACAATGTTAACACTGATCAGAGCCCATATCCAGTGAGCATGCAGAATCAATAAAAGATGAAAATGCATAGTCCAAGGTTACCTACCCGAAGGTAATGGCAGGCTTGTTGATTCTGACTGTAACTTGTACTTACCCTATGTCAGCTTTCAGCTTTTTTTATTATAACTTCTTGAGACACCATTGCTAGTGAAGAATTAGATCCCACCAGCAAATTTTGGTAAAATCAATAATAATCATCTATCCCTTACAAAACGTCAACAACACAGCCATTAAAAAGAATTGCCTAAAAAAAAAAATCCTGAGAACCATCTGGAAAAGATATAATGATGTGCAAAATTCCTTTCATCCTGTACATAATTATTCACATAAAGTAGGGTTTACAGAAGAGTTAAAAGATAAACTTTCTTATTGCCTACTCACTTTCTCAGCAATTATTTTCCATCAAATTTTTCAAATAATTATTTGAAAAAATTAAAAAAAAATAAAAAGCAATACAACTATTATTACAAATTACAAATTATTTTTAAAGTTAACAATCTATGTTCCTAAGAAAGGAAAAAGTGATGCAAGATACACAAATATAAACATATATCTTTTTAAGGCAATATACATAATAGAATGAGTAAATCATTTCTAATTTGTTTTTCTATTTGAATATGTATTTCCTTAGACTCTGTAGATCTTAATATTATGTAGTGTCAGGTGTATCAAATCGTTTAGAGAATTATCAGTCTTTTTTAATTTGCATGTCTTGTGTTCTGCACTAGTCAATCAAAATGAAAAACTCTCTACTGACAAAAAGGAAATCCTCATAAGACGGCCTTGTAAATTTAAAATAAGATTTGCAAAACCCCTAGAATATCTATCATTTTTATTGACTCTGATGACAGGTTCTTATATGTCAAATTATAAAACTACTTTATATGCATGATCATTATTCATAATATATTGAGTTGTTCATGTAACAGCAAGGACTCATTTGTGATTCTTTCTAAAAAGCTAATTTGGTTTGCACTACATTGCTATCTTTGGACCTCCTATTCTGTGAAAATGTGCTCAACACCATTTGAAACTTTTACTTTAATAAAATAAAGAGTAGACAAGTTTTTGATGTGGCTATAAAAAGTCCATTCTGTTCCTAGGTGTCTAAGTATGCATATTTGTGGGCAAAAAAAAAAGTCAATTTTGTAAACCATGCAAACTGTAATACTGAAGCATGTCACATTTCTTTTAATAAGATGTCTCATTTTAAGAATTATCTTCTGTAATAATACTTATTAGCCTGCCTGGAATTCAAAGCAGAGATACAAAACTGCATTAATTTACATGCTTCAGTTTTTAAAAGAAAGAGAATAAGCTATAATGACTAATGGATTAAGCAATGAAATCCTAATACTTCTCACATGAATAATCATGTTTGAGAAAGAGTAAGAATATGAATTTTATCATCAAAAAGACCCTGAAAGATTTCAAATTTCTATATGAAAGGAAATTCACCTTTTAAGAAGTGTGAATTTCATGTTTTCTGGTAGGTCTAAAAATTAGGCCAACAGAGCATCCTCTTAACAAAATTCAATGTGTTTATATTTTACAAACCTATTGCATATGTCACTATATCAAAAATCACACATAAAATAAAAAATAAAAAATCTAATAAGTCCATAAAACTGTTCAAGGAAAATGTTTGTTTAATAGACTAATTATAGAAACTTATTAATAAAGGGCAAACAACAGTATTATAAGCCACCAAACTCTCCATCAAAAACAATCTACCATAAAATACTTTGCATAAAACAATCTTCCCTGGACACAATAAATCCCCACTGTGATAAACAGAGCTATGCTTTAGGTTAACAGTTCCAAAAAGAAATTGAACCTGAGGAAACAAAATACAATTTAGGATTGCAAATGTGATTATTCCATTGTTCCTAAATTTTTCCAAATACAGATTTTCTGTGAATGTTCCAAATTTCCACATACATTGCTTGCAGAGTTAATAACAAACTAATCACAAGAGCTGAGTTTTCCTGTGAGCAGGTACAAATACATGAAATAAAGGCTTGTTTGTTAGCAAAGTTAAAACCTGTGCGCTTAAAATCATGAAAGTTTGATCTTTTGCTTTCTCTCTAATTTGCTAAGCCTCTTCTGATTATTTTGTAGTTCTCAGCCTGAACTTCACAAATCTTTTTAAGTTTATTGCTTTACAAGTCTTATAAGTCATTAGACAGGACCTAATCTAACTCCTTTCATCTCTTTTTCTAATGGAGGTCTCCTAACTTCTGTGGAAGTCTTTCAGTTTCAGAACTGAGACAATGGGATCTGTTATTCGGGCCAAGTTTGAAACTTCCATAGTTCACCATTGAACTTGAACTCCCAATGTTGGACACTTGCTAGCATGGAGACTACTTACCACTAAACATATTAATTATCAGTTTGTTCGCTGGTGGGGATAAAAGCTTCTAATACCTCCTAGGGCAAAAAGGGCAAAAAGTAAGAAAGAGAGACACCTACTTGACTGCATGGTTCTAGCTGATATTTCAGCTGTAGAAGCACCCAGGCCTTGAGGAGAGCGTGCAGCCAGACGGAAATAATACAGGCTGTTTGGTTTCAGTCCTTGCAGTCTGTAAGATGTCCCTGGCTCAATGGCAATTCGTTGCTGTGGATAAGTAAGCAGAGGACTTCATCATCTTCATTAAGATTCATGCAAACATTTTTATCACATTGCCTAGAACCTCAGACTTCTGTCATCAGGCCTATAATGTCATCAAAATATCACAAACAGAATCAACAGTGTCAAGGACCCAACTACGGGATTTATACAATAAACCTGTCAATTTTTAAAGGCAAATTTCTACAACAAATAAGGCAAATTAGATATCTTTTCTAATGAAGACACAGTTATCCAAATACATCAGATAAGAGGGAGATGGAGAGGCCACCCCCCACCATGTTCTACCTTAAGGCACACATGTTGCTGTGACACAGCCCACAACAGAAAATGACACCTGCCCCAAGGGGAGAACATCCCCAACATGTGCAATTTCAAGTGAAGCTCATCTTCCATGACCTTCTGCAATCTAAATAAGGGCAAAGAAATGTGGCTAGAAGTAGCAATGGAAACCAGTATACCATTTACATGAGATTGCTATAAGAGATCTGAAATTGCAATGATCTGATGTTAGTTACTGGAACACTGGATAATTTATACGAAACTGTATCATTAGTCTAGGCTGATTTAAAATAATTCTAAAACTTTCTTTTCTTTGTGAGTAGAGAGCCCACAGCTAGAAAAATACCACAAACTTTTCTATAAATTTTAACATCATAAAGGGCTTCTGAAATAAGGTTTCTTTACTTGAATGTTATGACTCTTACTTTTCGTGCTTGAAATCTGCCTTTGCACTTCAGCAAAAATGTAGCCATCTATAAATACTCACAGGATGAACATTAGCCTGCAGTAAACCTTAAAATAAATTATAATCTGTAATCTAGTAATGGCATAAATAATCTTAAGGCTTTTTATCAAGTAGGGTTTGCTGTTCACAAAAACAGAAATCAGTCAAGGGGAATTCAAATATAAAAACAGAGAAAACATCCCTAGGGTGTTCTGGCTCACAAACACAAAAGCTTTCAGAAATTTTTGAGTTACCAAATAAGAAGGGAAAAAAAAAAGGATTCCCTACATAAACAATTGTAAAGTAGTGTAGGTGTGCCAACATTCAAGCACCCATAGTATACTCAAAAGATTGCCTCTCTCCTTTACTGATTTTACTTTGCTTTTTAGTTAGGTAGTGGTAAGGGTTTAGAAATAAAGTAATGCTATATATGTCTTAGTAAGAACACCAAGAGTTATAACATGAGTACGTTAAGTTATATCAGCATTTCTACTATGTCACTTTTGGGGTGCTTAATTTATATTGGCTTTGATTGCTAACTAAAAGCATTGCATTTAGATCCTGGTCTCCGGAGACTCTGCTCAATTCAAACACATGAAATAAAATAGAAGTCACATGAATTTATTATAGTATTCAAAATGATACACCACAAATTAATTGATAACAGTTCATTTAGAATGCAAGTTTTTACAAATGTAGCCTTTCAGAACTTAGGACCTGTTTAACTTTGTTAAGATCTTTTTAAGATAAAGAATGCTAACGGGTATTAAAAATGGCCTGTGTGGGTTGAGTTTTAACATACAGTTTTACTAACTTTTTTGTCCTGATGTTCCTCATTGGATTTCATGGTAACAAAGTAAACATATTCATAACTACCTTTTATTTCATTCTGAAAGGGTGAGATGTATCTTCACACCAATTTCCATAATCTGCTCAGAGTGTGTCCAAAAGGCAGTGTAACTCACAGTTAAAAACACAGATTCTGGAACCTAACTGCCTAGACTCAAATCTCGGTTCCACCATTCAGTAGTGTGAGGCTTCGGGCAAATTATTTAACTTTGTATTGCCTCCATGTTCTTACATGTGAAATGGATTAATAATAGAGGATAACTCATCACACTGCTATGAGGACTGAGTTAATATATGTGAAACCCTTAGAACAATGCCCATTAATATGTGTCTTAGTTATATTGGTTTTTGTTTCTCTTTTCAGTAACTACCAATAATTTCCAGCCTTCTTCAGTCTACTTGATGCTTCATTTGCTATAGCACACTCAAACACTACATTTATTCACATTCATATCAAACAATTCTCAGCATACAAATATACACTTGCTATGGAACAACTTTTTCTAAAACCAGTTTGGACAAATTCATCAACTTAAAGCCTTGGAACTCATTTAGTTATGTGTTGGTGATTTAGGGACTATAATATAGAAGATAAATAAAGTCTTCAAATCTCATGGGATATATTCTTTTCCAACTTGATACTTTCAGAAGAAATTTGGAAACCTGAATAGAAGAGTTCCAACAGGAACAATAGCTATTTTTTGTTTTGTTTTGTTTTGGTACCCCTGTCCCCCACCAAAGACTTCAAATCACCATTCTGGAGTTTTGGTCATTTGTTCCACTTTTGATGAATAAATATCTCCCACCAAGCTCCTCTATAGATACCTGACCTTTTAATAGGACTTGGGTAAGTACCCAAAAGTAGAGTAGTGACCCCATGTAGTAAATGATTAAGAGAATGAGAAGTACACTCTTACCTCCTCTCCATGCTCCCCATCCTTATAGACCAGTTCATAATTGGCGATGGTATCTGAACGTGGTGGTGTCCAAGAAAGCAAAATACTTGTTTCGGATTCAGGTTCTGCTTTGAAGTTTAGTGGCTGCCCTGGTACTAAAAACAGGGAGACAAAGGACTGAGCTCACCATCACCATGAGTATTCTAACTTCCTCCATTAGAGCAACTGTGGTAAACATTTCAAAATGTGTCCACATGTATGAGCTTAATGGGGAGCTCAGTCCCTTATATTGTCCAAGTCAACCTGTTTACGTAGAGGCCATTTTTATTCCTTCAAGGTATTAACAGCAATATTATGAAGACTGTCCTTGTCCTTGAGTTAAATAAATAAATACTTGTACAAGATACAGATTACCAATCCACATTGTGAAAGAGGTACAAAAACAAAAAAAACAAAAATCCACAACTGTCACTTATAATTACTTCTAATCCCTAAAAGACTTTAAATGACTTAATACACTAGACTGAATATAAATTTAATATTTTCCCTAGTGAAATGGAGCTAAATTACTACATAAATTAGAAAGTTTATAGCATACATTTATACTTAATACTTGAAGCACTACTGAAGTACAACAGATACACAGTGTTATATTGGTTTCAAGTGCACAACACAGTGATTCAACAGTAATCTACACTATTAAATGCTTACCCCAGGTAGTGTAGTTACTATATGTTAACATAAAAAGATGTTACAGAACCATTGACTATAGTCTCTATGCTTTACTTTCATCCCCATGACTAGTTTTATATCTGACTGAGATTTTGTGCCTCTTTATTACCCTCACCCACTCCAACCCCTCCCCATGGTAACCGCCAGTCACTTCTTAATGTCCATGAATCTATTGCTGTTTTGTTTGTTTGTTTTGTTTTGTTTAGATTCTGCATAAGTGAAATTACATGGTATTTGTCTGTCTCTGCGTGGTTTATTTCACTTAGCATAATACACTCTAGATCCTTCTAATAGCAAGGTTTCTTTCTTTTTCATGGATGAATAAAATATGCCATTGTGTATATGTATCACATCTTTTTTACCCATTGATCTACTGATGGACACTTTGGTTACTTCCATACCTTGGCTATTGTATATAATGCTGCTTTAAACATAGGAATGCATATATCCTTTTGAAACAGTGATTTTATTTTCCTTTGCGTGAATTCCTTGAAGTAAAATTATGGTGTCATATGGTATTGCTATAATTAGTTTTATTATCAGAAATATAGTAATTTAACAGAGGCCATCTGTAATTCTCATATTAGTCTCATAACCCATGTAAGACAATTTGGAAGAGCTATAAATCAGATGTAATAAAGAATGGAATATCAATCTAGTTTAAAACACTTTATTTAAATGTTGTATTAGAATAAGTTTTCCCAACGCCTACCTCCTTATTAACACCTAATCCCACTAGGTCCTCCTCCCTCATTCACAAGGCTAATGGACTTCAGGGTATCACTCAGCACAGCTAACTTTACATTGTTCCTGGCCAATGTCTGCTCTGAAAGGTTGGTGCCCACACCTCACTGGACAATAAAACTTTGATCATTGTCCCTGATACTGTGGCATGTATCAGAGTGATAATCTTGAACATATGCCCATTTTCCCACACATAAACTTGAAAATTCTATGTGTAGTTAATAAAAACATGAACAATAATGCTTAATTCTCTGGAATTAAGAACATCTACAGTGCTTTTAGCAAATGTGCAAAAATACTGAAACTATCTAAAACAATATAATTTGTAGCTGATGTAGGACATCAGTTTCTTAACACTTAAAAGCACCAATTGCATGAGAAAGAAAGACTTCGGAAATACAAAATGTATTACTTGACTTTCCTTTTGCAGTCATCTTTCTGTAGTATGACTATAAAAATACCTTTCATTTAAGAAGAGGTTCAAGTCTAAATATATCTATGAGAATGGTTTCTAGGATTCCCAATTATCATTTTATTCCTTTGTCTGCTCTGCTAGTTGTTAGTGTGTGTGTGTGTGCCCATGTACACGTGCAGACGCTCATGTTTGGACTGCTGCTAAAGGCCACCAATAACCATTGCCTCACAGTTCAAACTGCATTCATCATCTTTCCTCCCTTTTTGCATCATAGGCCTTGAGACACTCATTAATTTGATGCCTCTGATAATGTACTCGGAACATGGTACCTATTTTTTTTTTATGTACCTGCCCAGTGGGTGACCTAACACAGTCACTCAGACTGTAAGACAGCGACAAAAAAAGATAAAAGAGCAAGAACAAGATAAAAAGGAACAAAGGGAAATAAAAGACAAACAGACAAATAGTAAAGCAAATAGAAATTGCGTGACTTCTAAAAGAGTCCTGGGTTGACCAGAGTTCCCAGCCCACCTGAAAGGGTCAGTAACATTCAGCGCCAGGAGACTTCTGTCTTGTAGAATATGGGCCCAGTCTTGCCTGAGACTCTGAATCTTAAACAGAAGTTGATCATGAATCTTCTACGTAAAATCTTTCAATTTTTAATAATGGGAAGTTAATTGCATTAATTAAAATTAATTCAAAACAGCATAAGGGGAAAAAAATGTGTCTTTAGGCAAAATCCAACATATAGACCAGTGCTGTAAAAGATCTTATTATCTCTGGCTCTATGCTCATAAATGCTGAGTGGCACCGCTCAGACTTTCCTGGGAATTGAGGGCTCACCTATACATAGTGCTTCCTAAGGGGCATTAAGTTATAGCTAAAACAATCACCAGGAAGCTGAGGCTTCAAAGGAAAAAAAAAACAAACTGTGAAATTAATGGATTTATTTTTATATTCCCCAAACATGTTAGTCCTAATGATCATAATGTATGTATATGAGAAAGCACTTTAGGGGACTCCAAACTGTCATATTTGTGTTCTCTGTACCACTTGGACACACGGGGTACTTCATCGCCTGTCAACTGGATTTTTATGCAAAATATTATGGCTACAGAGGTTCTATTAACATTTATATTTGTACTTTCTCCTTGCTACTTCTCTCTTTCTCTCTCCCTCTGTGTATATATATATATAATTGTTTTAATGCTTTCAGTCTTTACAACTCAAAGTTACTGGCATTCTTTATATTTACATACCTCTGTTTGTCTATGTCTATTTTATTTAAGAGCTTTTCTGTGTTGTAACATTTCCATTACCAATTAACTGAACATAAATTTTATGGGAAAATGTGAGATTCTGGGATACTCATGGGCAAATAAAAAGCGCCCATCCAGAAACTTAAGTGTAAACATTCTCCAGGAAAGAGAGAGAGGTGATAATATCGACTATAAAGCAAATTTAGAATTTTAATACAGAAAGAGGAAATGAAAATAGAAATATGGTTTTCTTTAAAATTAAAATTAAATTTAAGAAATCCTTATATTCTGTAAAGTGGTGTGCTATCATTATTTCCTTCTTCCTGGTGACTTATTTAATGTCCACAAGGAAATAAAAACATGACCTATCAATTCCCTTAAATAAGATTATGAGTATTTGAGTAGTACCACCATGATACTCTATATAAATATATGAGGGCAACTCAAGGAGGAAGAATGGAGAATGAAAAGGAAATGAAGAAAAATCTGTATTTCATCAGAAATGCTGATATTACAAAAGTTCAATATTTGAGTAAAATTTAGGGAATATCTTTAAAGAGAAAAAGGTTAGCACATATTAAATGGCTAAACAACAATTTCACCTAGCCATACTATAAATATGAAATATAACCAAAGAGATTAGAAAGCCCACTATTGCTAAAATATCTAGTGATTTAATAAGATACATGTTTTAAAATGTGGGTATCTAGCACATTGATAATGTTAATAACAACAATAAGAGCAACAGGCAGACTTACAGTGGTGGTAAAACAAAACAAAATGAATTTCAAAACAAGGTGGCTGATTGGTAAGTGCCACAAATTCATCACTGACAAAATAAGTACTTAATACACAAGCACCTGCACAAATCTTACTCTCAACTGCCATTAAATATCAGTAAGAATAAGTTAAATTTTACTACAGTTGTATTTATGCCCAGAGCTCCTTTGCTCACTATTAACTCTTTAGAGAAAGCATTTAAATTGGGCTCATAATTTTGGTTAGTGGAAATCCATCTTTTACCAAGTTTGTTTCTATAGGCCTGTTGACAGAGACCAATGAAATGATTTATAAAACTCTAGAAACCTAAAGCACAATGTTGTTAAATGTCATTGCTTTACATTAGAACAACTTCGCAATGCCCAGAATTTGTAGTAAAGTTAGCTTTAAAATGTTTAATGTTGATACTGCCTGCTAGTAAGTATATAATTCTTTTCCTTCCAAAGATGTACACTGTTAAGATACACACATGTAAATCAGTAGACTTTTTTCAAGAACGTATTAAATACATAGAATTAGAGGTCAGATATGTTTTCTAAAGAAAGAAAAAGAAATTACTATTTAACAGATTTAGAATGTCTCCAATTAGCCTGAGCATCAAGCAACATTTATTTTAATGCATTAGGTTTAAGATATAATTTATTATATTTCTTTATTAGAGTCTTATTTGTACTTCTTTAATAAAAGAGTTACCCTATGTTCATATAATTATCAATAAAAGAAAACTGTATGAGAAGACAGTTTTTTCTAGAGGACTATAAATACTTTCCTTGTTAGTGGTCATGCATTCCATGTATTTTCAAGGTGAACTAGTTGCAGGTGACTAATGCCAGAAGCTAAAGCCACAGAAAATTTGGAAGATTAATCCATACTTTTAGATCACCTTGACAAAATCTTTTCAATTGTACTAACATTCACAATTAAAGGGAAATCTTAGTGACTATAAAATACATATTTTGATTTTCTATGTTATTAGAAATACACAAATTTACATCAATCCTCCATTTGTATCAATATGTGTAACAGTAACCTTAGATAAGATCAAAAGCAATAGTTTTCTTCTTAAACTCATTTTGTTACTATATACAGTTTCTTCAGAGTTTGATTGTAAACAAAAATAGGAATATTAGTGCAAGAGAATTAAAGATAGTGAACATTTTTCAGATGTAGAAGACATAAAAATTTACATCTCTCTGGATATGAAATTTAAAATAAGCTTGAGAAATTCAGACAGAATATTGATCAGTAAAAAAAAAGGCTGAAATTGCTGTGAAAATAACCACATCTTTAAATTTTAAATACAACATCTCTGAAAGAATATTTCATAATAGTTTTATGCTTCTGCCTAGCAATGGTCCTAAGAATTAGAGAGTCAGCAACAAGAAAAGGATCAGCTCAATATTAATTATATCAGAACTAACACCATTGTATTTGACAGGTGCCCACTAACATCAAATGGCCTTTGCTAATTAAGCCTAGAGAACAAATCTTACCATTGTGCTATTTCTGAAGGTTTTTTCAGCCTATTGATCTTGGCAGGCATAAGTCATTATGCCATTATGTATCTTCTCAATGAATGGGTATTAAAAGTGTAAGTATTATGGAAGGTTCTTAGAAATATCTTAATGTAAAGAAAGTCAAACGGAGACTAGGAATAACTATTCTAATACATCACTGACCCATTCGTGTAGATTTTTCCAAAGTTCAGAGTCCCTGGATCACATTAACTGCCCCCATCACAATACTACTTTCACTGAGTTATGATTGACGTTACATTATATCCCCTGGCAATACAGAAAATCAAATATGGTCTATTTAAACATCAGTTTTTTATCTTTCAATAAACTGCAACTGAATGCATTATTGTCTGTCTGTGTTCTGACTATAAGGATTCTCATAATTCCCAAAGATTCTTATGCTTAGGTTCAATTTAATTCTAGGAACTATTTGGTTTCTTAGATAGCTAAATCTTTCTTTCATCAGAAAACAAAGTTATGAAGTATTACAGATTTCTATGTTTAAATTTATAGTTCAAAAACTTAAAACCAAATTTAGTGATCAACTGTAATAACCTTGTATGAAAAAGGTATCTCTTCCACTTCTTTCAGATAAACTTATTTTTTCATATTTAAAAGGTTTATGTACCTTTGGATTTGAATAATCAAGTAGCCACCACTATTTTAGAACTATATGTAATTCTTAAGTAAGGACATCCATAAATGATATACCATGTTTCCTGAGTCTATTGAGTACCTATTGGGTACAAAAACATAGTAGACACTAAAAACTATCATATCAACAAATTATTAATTTGAAAGATAATGGTGCTTACAAAATATCTAGGGTGCCTAGAATTAAATTCTGATTCCCCACCACTAACATTATGACTGAAGGCAAGTTCCTGTATCTTTTAAATCTTCTTTGCTCTTCAATTTACTCATTGCAAATAGTATAAGTCCACAGCTATCTAATTGGGTAGCAAGAATTAATACACACAAAGTTCACAGCAGAGCACTTGGTTTATGTTAGCTGTCATTATGATGATGATGATTATATATTATTTATTAAGTTATGTTTCTACCCATTATATAATTTATAGCCCTATTATGGGTTGAAGTATATCCTACAAAAATTAATATGTTGAATTTCTAATCCCCAGAACCTTAAAATGTGACATCATTTGGAAATAAGGCCCTTGCAGGTGTAATAAGATGAGGTCATTAGGCTGGTCCCTAATCCGTTATGACTGGTGTCCTTATAAAAAGGGTAAATTTTTTTTTTTGAGGGGGAGCTTTCCATGAATTTTGTGTCTTTTGACCACAATTCATTTTATTCTTTTGACTTACTATTTTGTATTAAAGTCTATACAATAAAATGCAAAAATCTTTAGTGTACAGCTCAATGAATTTTGACATGTGTGCACATTCATGTAACTCATGTATCATCCAGATAAAGATATTAACATTCTGATTTTTGTCCCCTTTCACAACGGGGAAACTTGGACACAGAGAGACACACATGGGGAGAAAGCCATGTGACAATGAAAGCAAAGATCAGGGTGATGCATCCAGAAGCCAGGGAACACCCAAGACTGCCAACAAACCACCGGAAGCTTGGAGCGAGGCCCAATCGTCCCTCACAACTCGTGGAAAAAACCAATCCTGATGACATCTTGATCTCGTACTTCCAGCCTCCAAAACTGATAGACAATAAATTCCTATTGTTTAAGCCACCCAGTAAGGGCTATTTTGTTATGGCAGCCCTAGAACACAAATACAACCACTAACCTCTATAAGGTGATAGTTATTTTAGATAAGAAAAATAAAATTCAGATAGATGAATAGTAACTTACCCAAGGTTATAGACCTAACAGTGGTAGACTGGGATTTAAACCCTGAGTATATTATTCTAAGACCAGGGTTTTAAGAAAATATTACAGCTGAAAAATCAGAAAAACTAAAAGTGGAGTATAGGTATATAATTTACATGCTTGTTTATTTCTTTTAATGGTTTGGAGCTGCTAAAAAAGTTTAAAAAGAAAGAAATCTCATACTAGTTGGCCACTTTTACTCAAGAAGAACAAGATTCATAGATTTCTAATGAGACAGTTATGGAAAATGTAATCTACAATACTTTTCTGCATTTTAACTTAGTAAATAAACATAAAACTACAAAAACCAAATAGGGAAGACATATGGATAGTTTGTGGTATAATTTAGGTAAATATATATTTATTTATAGGTAATCTTTAATACTATTATAGAAAATAATAAATCCATGAACAAACCAGGAAGAACCAAATAAATAGTATGAAAATAAACTAAAGCCAGGCAAGCTGTAAATATGTTCTGAGACTTCTAATAGCCGGAGCAAATAAGTAAACATACTCAGTCCTATGATATATAGAACTCAAGACATGAAAACAAGTCAGGGGGTGGTTAACATAGATTTACCTGATTCTGACACCTAAGAAAATTCATTAACTAATTCCCAAGGTTACTAATGAATTACACCTATAGATTATAGATATTATTTCCAATAATGTAGTTCTTCTGTAGATTCTCCAAACAAACCAGTGCATATTGCCAAAATACTCAGAGATTAAAGCAAGTTTAAGAGGTGCCACCACAAAAAGCAGTGAAATGCAAGCTCTCAGAAGTTTAAGAACAAACGTTAGAAGAAAGTTTTGAAATCTTCTGATGAAAACAAAACCACTGGCAGGCTTGAACTTTTCTTCATAAAATAGTTTGCCATCTACTCTAATACCCAGTAAAATGCGTGAATAAGGCCCCAAAATTGATCTTAGATCTTGGTAACTAGGTTTCTTCACTCCTGAGACCATATAAATAAAAATAAAAATAAAAAAGCTATTAAGAGAATATTTTCAAGCAAGTAGATTCCTAGCAAACATAAGCCGTTAGATATTCCACATTGCCAGAGAAATGGTTTTATTTTTAACTTCATTTTGGATCATCTAATCTTTTACAAATTAAATTAATTTTTTGAGACCATTCTGTTGGAGTTACTACTGTAAAGAAGCACAATTCTTCTGCACGGAGGATGCATGCATCAACTCATGCAAAAAAGGTCTTCAAGTCATTTGGGTACAGTAAATTAAAAAGCAAGGATGATAAATGGATTACTTAAAAACTTTCCAGATGCTTTACCTTAACCACTCACTTAGAAACTCAACCTGAGAAATTAAAATGTATACTAGCTTTGCCACTTTTGCCCTTCCTCCTCCCCCGTCCAGAACCGGACTTACCTCCTGTCTGGGTGATGACTTGTATGTCACTAGAAAGAGGACCATCTCCGATGGAGGTAAAAGCCAGGACTTTGACAGAGTACGTTTTCTGGGGAACTAAGTTGCCAATAGTAGTGATTTGGCTGTCAGCTACATTGTGTTTCATCCAGTTGTTGACGTGCTGAGTTGGATCCATGGTATAGTAAACTCTGTATCCTTGGATCTGACCATTGGGCTCCTCAGGTTCCTTCCACTGCACCAGGATGGTGGTTGAACTCAGCATCCGTGCCTGGACATCCCGTGGGGCGCTGGACGGGGCTTGCTCTGAGGTCTGCGTCAGCACAGGCTCACTGGGGGGGCCGCGCCCGATGTTGTTGACAGCCACGACCCTGAACTCGTAATCTGAGTAGGGGCTGAGCCCCGCGACGCTGTAGCGTGTGGTTGCCACCCCATCAATTTCCTTGTAAGGTTCCTCCGAATTTTTAGGTTTATGCTGGATGATGTAGTAGGAGACAGGCTCAGGGTTCCCGGAGTCCCACGTCAGCGTAATGCTGGTCGCTGTGCTCTCGGTCACTACGGGGCTCCCTGGAGGCCTGGGTAAGGCTTGCGGGGGAGAAAAAGGGACAGCGACTTCCATCAGCTCCAGGCTGCTACAGGAAGCCAGAGACTCTACTACGGAAATGGCTGAGTCACGGAACTACCAAAGATTTGGTTTGATGGAAGCACAGCGCAGGACAGCCCTCTAAGTGGTCGGAAAGTACAGGACAACACGCGAAGGTGACAAATCCTGCTCTCCCAGAGGGTAGAATGTCGTTGTGTTTTGGGGCTTGTATCCGATTCCACCACTTACTACCTATCTGTTACTCGATGCACTGCGTAACCTCTCCTGCTTTAGTTTTCTCATGTGTAAAATGGGGTAAACTGTATTCCTGGAACTGTTCTATGCAGTTGGGTAACTGTATTTCATGGGTTTGCTGTGAAGATTAATGAGCTAATCCAGGATGGTTTTAGAAATGTATCCAACACACTCAAAACATTAATTACACCAAATGCTTAGCCAATTAGCCCTTGATTCAAGAAGTAAATGCTGTAACTAAATACCAATAAACCTTGAAAACACCCAAATT